GAAGGAAGGAAGGAAGGAAGGAAGGAAGGAAGGAAGGAAGGAAGGAAGGGAGGGCACAATCTTTTGGTCTAGCCCCTAAAACCCAAATAAAAGATGTTGAAGTTTGTATTTATAACATGACAAAATAACAAAAATGTTGCAATTCTTTGACAACGTCACTGAAAAAACAAAGCCAGTTCCCTTTCTCGTCTCGTTGGAGACGAGCAAGCAGGGCTTTAAAACTGAAGACATGAAACCATTTCAGTGAAAGCAAAGATGACTCCACTATAAAAGTAATTAAAGAAAACAGAGAACAAAACATCTCTGTTCGAGTGGCTGTGAAACTCTGCACCAGACATCCTAGAGGAGAGGACGTTCCTACATGCAAACGCAGGCAAACAAGCTGGATTAGCCAGCAAAAGGTCATTAACTCCCATCAAAGAGCTTCAGCGCGTTCAGCAAAGCCGCACATCTTCCTCGGTCACTGTCACCCAGCACAGCTGACTGAGCATGGCACACTTTTAGATACGCATGTCCATTGTAGTGAACGCATTCCTTCTGTCTCCCCCGCCTGAAAACAGCCATTGATACGGCTGATTTCATCTATTTTTCTTTTCTTTTCTTTTTTTTACGCCAACTTTTCTCCTTTCTTTTCTCGACGCGGGAATAAAATGCAAACCAAACGAGCTACAACTCGTTCGGAAACAATAGCGCTGTCCTTCCAATTGGAGGTCAGGGATCCTGGTTGCATAACCTCCTTGTCGAGCACGCACCCTGCCAAGGCCAAGTTTGAGTTTAGTAGTTATTAATAGACAGACAGAAACGTCCAACCAGACGATGCCTTGCTGCGCGTCCAGGGGAATCTCATCAAATTATTGGAGGGGAAGGTTCTCACGAAGATTTAAAAATATATATATATATATATCTGAATGCGTGTTGTTTTGTTTTTTTTGACTCGTTATCTGACAAGTCTACTTTTTTTTCTCCTCATAAGAAATAAGAATATATGTCTAACACTCGTCAAAACCACATTTAAATTTGTCCTCATAGCAGAGTAGATGTACAATCCAATAACGCACACATAAAAAAATACAAAAAACATAAAAAAACGGAATCACTGACAGCTAGATACGCTGCATACTCAAGGCAGGGTAGTAAACCGGAGTGGAAGCACAGTCATGTTGCAGCTTGAACAGAAACACTGTCATTAGTAAACAGCTGCAACTCAAGTGTGAAACTTCAGGCAGCAGTCTTCTGCACTAAATGGCAGAGCTCTACACACCCATTACTGATGCATGTCAACACTAAACGTAATTCATCTGTGACTACTATTATTGCAAGAGGAAGGAACTTTAAGCTGCAAACACTGTGGACTGTTATAGCTCCCATCTCACACCGACTTTCTTGTGACGGCGTTATTTTTCTTGGCGATAGGCTGGTTCCTGGTATCAGGCTATATCAAGGCTTAAACAAAACAGTTACTTTCAAAACTGCAACAGTTGTCTTTTTAGGTCCTTTCAAAATGTCTATGTATCAAAATCAGCATAATCACTCATCTGCACTTGTTGATTTTCACTGCCAGTCGACAGAATGAAAGAAGGCTTCTACTTTCTTTTTGTTTTTAAGACAAATTTGGCTGTTTAAACATATTTTCTGGTCCTTTAAAATATAGACAGTAATGCTGTCTATGTAATACTGCATTAAAACTACAAACATCATGTCTGGTGTGCAGTCAGCTGGCTTTACAGAAACAGTCTTCATCCCAGGTGTTATCTTACAGTGAATTTAATACACACCTTAAACAGGTTAAAAAAAGCAATACATAAAATGAAAAGTGAAGTGATTCTAACATCATTTAGACTCAAGATGACCGTGTGTTTGAGTCAATAATTATAATAATAGCAGGAACAATCCTTATGTTTAATTATTGACCTTCATAGAACCAACAGCTGTAGTTATGTGTAGTTACTAAGACACAAAGCTAGTGGTAAAAATGTATCTCAGGAAATTTAACCTGGAGGTGAATGCATTCATTTTTTCCTTTATTGTCAGTAACATTAGTAACAATAGCTTATGGTTGCAGTTATAAGAGTTATAGAACGTCTTGACATTGCAAATCATTTGCAATGAAGTCGCGTTTTCTAAAATGAGACATGAATTTCACAAGTTGGCGTCATGTTTGAGGCGATAAACTTAGCATAATCTTGGTGGATGCTCTGATTTAACCTTACAGCACGCTGTCAATTACCAAGCAGTTTAAGCTAATGTTATTACCATGGTTGAGAACGGGGAAGTTAGGCTAGCAGTTAGCTGCAGTTTCTAACACGCATAGATAATCGTAGTGTGCAGGGGTCTGAGTAGCGGTATTAATTAAAACAGCAGCCTGACATCGTTAGTCTTCTTCTGCTATCCCTGAGTAACGTCGACGTTCATGTTAGCGCTGACTTCAAACGCCCAACTGACAGTAACAGTTGACTCCTCCAGGCTAACCTGGAAACATTTCTCCTTTAGCGTTAGTGTACGTAAAATATATGTGTACATATGCACATTAAAACGCACTGCGTTAAGTTACAGAAGGCTGACAAGCTTACTTACCATTTTTCAGCTCATGTTTCACAGTAAACAGGTCACCTTCTCTGGAAGATCCCTCCATTGGGGATGGCATTGTAATTTCGTGTCCCTATTATGTTCAGAGCAGATTAGGCTCACCTTTCAAACTAGTTTGCGATATTATCATGCAAAAACAGAAATGGGTCACCCACGGTGAGCTTGACTGATAAATAAGCAAAAGAAATTGTCACTAAGCCTAGCCGCGGGGAAGCTCTGGAGGAAGCACTTGCGTCTTCTAGCAGCAAATAACCACGACCACTACCTTCGCAACCAGACAGTCCCTCTTCGCTGATTGGAGTTGCTATGGTAAGACTTAGGTTCGGATTGGATGGCCATCTAGTAGTGACATAAAGTCCCGCCTTCCTCAAATGACAGATGCTGCATTCAAATACCCCCGTACACTCTAATGTGAACGGTCAGAACTCCAGCTAGAGTTAAATGTATTCTTTAAAATTAGTTAAACGAGGTTAATAATATCAGAACAAATGTTTGAAAAAAACAGTTAGATTTCACAGATTTCTGCGGTCTGTAAATCTGTAAAATATTATTTGACGCAATATTTAGCAATACTGCTAAACTGCATAGAAAGTGTTGCATGGTAGGCTTGAAAAAGAACAAAAAAGACGAAAATGCAAGTCAGAAAATATATGTAGCTCCACATGGTGTTTATATATTGACCTAAAGATCTCTAAAATGTTTCATCACACCGGACACAGTGAATATTGAGCAATAAAGGCAGCATATCATGAAATGGATCAGTTCCTGTTGCAGTAGAAGCAGTTCCTCTGTACCTCCAAATAATCAGACCATGAAATCAAACTCAGTCAAAAGCGACTTATCACGTTCAGAAAAGTAGATTTTTTTTAAAGAATTGTTGCGAAACTAGACAGCTGTGTTAATTGACAAGCACAAGAAGCACATTAAATGCATCTAACAATGCCAAATCTGAACATTAATATTTAGCAAATATGCTGATATAGCATGATGTAGAGCTGAATCTGTTTCTGTAATCTACAAATCCCTGCAAACTACTGATGAATTGCAACTCTGTAGCAAATAAATAGTGGTTGTTGTTGGTTTTTTTTTTATCTAATTAAAAAAAATTGTAATAACAAAAATACAGCATTTTTTAATAATCCTAAAACTTATTGATATTTCAAGCTTTACATTTGGATAAAATCATTTCTGAAAGAGAACCCAATCTGGATTCTGCCTCCATCATGTGGCAGAATGTTGAAAATACAATTATTTGGATGGCATTTTTTAACTTTGATATTTGCAAGTCATTACTATAATACGGTATATATATATATATATATAT